CACACACACACACACACACACACACACACACACACACACACACACACACACACACACACACACACACACACACACACACACACACACACACACACACACTCGTTACTGTGGGCGTGAAGGAGATTAATGACCTTTGTTTGTCTGTGCGTGAATTTGCATTAATGCCATGCTGCGGGGGCGGATGTTTTCCAGTTTGACTTGAGAGACGTATATCTGAAATTTGTTTCTGCACCGTAAAAGGAGTCATAAAAGTAAATGTTGTTTCTCAGGAAAAACAAAAAAAAAAAAGAGAAAGAAAGAGAGAACAGGTATATTCTGTTCAACCACTGGAGCTTTCCCAGATTAGATGCAAAAAAATGAATTAAACATCTTCTTGTATGCAGTGATATCAGTCTACAATGAATGTTTCGACAGACCTGCGCATCAATGATCTTCTGTTTAGAGTCCACGACCGCTTGCATGTCAGAGTGGTCCTTCTTCAGCTCCTCCTCTACCGACATTAACCTGGGTGTCACAACAACAAATGGGGACACAACTGTTAAGTAGCTACAGAGCAAACGCACAGCAGCACGCACACTCCGCTTCCTCCAGTACCGGCTGATGATGCTCTTCATCTGGAGGTCCTTGTCGTCCTGCTGCCTACGCAGACGCTCCTCCGACTCCTCCAGCCTGGCCTGGTACTCCAGCAGGACCTTCTGGGCCTGCTCGTCCTGACCCTTCAGACGGGCTTCGTACTCCTCCAGCTTCTGCACGGAGGCGCGCAGTTTCTCCTGCAGCACTGCGATCTCCTGCTGGTACTGCGGAGCAAAAGCACCGGAGAGAGACGGAGAGATGCTAGTCGTCATCGGGACACATCGGGAGCCGTACTTGCTTTAATCGCACGAGAACAGGAGAAAAAAAAAAAAAAAAAGGTGCAAATACACCGGTGATTACGAAAATATATCCAAGGGCCTGTCGAGCAGAGTGGCTTTTCAATAGTAGAGACAGAAAAGTTGAGAGGCTTTTGTTAAACAGCAAGAGGAAGAGATGAGTTGCAAACTAAACCCTACAAATCCCCATCTGCCCATTGTAAAGCCTCATGGGAGGGTTTCAGAAAGTTCTCTTCATGCCAGAGGGAGAAAGCAAAGGGTAGAAATTGATTTTGGTGAGGAAAAAAAAGAAACTAAACTGTGTGGTGAGTGAGGGGTAAGACTGTAAAGTTTTCAGCTGCCTTACAAAAGTACTCGGAATTATTACAATTTTTTCCCCCCACATTTTATGACGTGATAAAGCAGCTTTGATGTAATGTCTACTGCCGCTGCGTTTCCATCCACTATGTAGCTGCGCAAAGTGAAATTCTGAAAATTAAAATAAAAACTCGCGTCCTAAGACAGAAAGTTTTTTCGCTAGGATGAGGTTGTTTTTCAGCTTTGTCGAAATGAGTCCGTCTTGCAATGGAGGCGCTTTTCTCGTGACGACCGACAAGATGTCACTACAACAGGAAGACGGCAACGGGAAGTGGTAGGAGGATGATGGCGCTGCGTGTTTTTTACTGAACAGACTTATTCACGTGTGATTTTTAACTCCATCTCTGATTTAACGGAAATACGACATGAGCGGAACAAAGTATCACACTCGTCTGATAGAAACGCAGGTGATTCCGCATAACCTTCGCTCGCTCGTCCTTTCCAGATAAAGGATTTAAAACTTGCCTGTAAGGGAATTCAAATCTTCTGGTTGTTTTTTTTCTCTCTCTATAACCCGACTATACTTTAAACTTTTATCAACTTCATCCCTGAGCCGCATGCCGTGTTCCTTGAATTTTAAAACACACAGCTCCGTGTGCATTTCCTCACCTCACACCTGGCATGTGTCAGAATGAGAAGAGGTGTCTGCAGCTCTTGTCTTGCAGTTTGTTGCCACAGTGCAGGTGAAAGCACACGGTTCATTTTTGATACAACCTGTTTGCCTATCTGGATTGATTTTTGTTGGTCTTTTTTTTTTTTTTTTTTTTTAAACAAAACGAAATGCTGCAACCTTCAGCAACAACTGATAAGGAGTTTAGTCTCGGGTAACCTTTCCCCAGCACCCTGAATTATCTGATTCCCTCGCACGCGGAGAGAATGCTATTGGGATCCCTTATCGTTCTCCGTCACCTTCCACGCACGCCAAATCGCCGAGACGTTTTTCTGTTCAAGCAATCTCTACAAGGGGGGGAACGGTGACCTCAAACAGATAACGGCTTGTCGTCTGCTGTCCTCGCCTTTCTCCGTCTCTGATCCCTCCGTTCTTGTGTCCGATCCCCTCGAGGGGAGCTTTCGTTCTGCTTCTCTGTTTCCCTCAAAGCGAGCCGCACCTCCGACCTGCTCGGCTGTACTCGAGCACCCGACCGTCCCGCCTGCATTTGCTTGCGTGCAAAATGAGAAGACGTGACTCGTACGGTGACCTGCGCGTAAAGCTCAGCAGAACGGAGAGTGAAGTGAACACGCCTGGTGTGAATATTGATAAGAGGAAGAACAAAAGAGAGATGGGGAAACAAAGGAGCTTTGAACAGATGTCCCCTCCGCCCGCCTGCTGTCCTGATGCTCCAGCTGACAACATTCCAGATAAAGTTATCTTTCCGCTCGGGCCAACGGCGGACACCTTTCACAAGGAGCAGTTGTGCAGAAATGGTCGCCATCGACTTCAAATTTATAAATGGAGGCCAAATGGAGCTGAACACACATTGTTTAGTGAGGAGCCGTGCTGTAAAGTTAGAAAAAAAAAAGCTTTCTTTGGAAAGGATTTTGCTTCCTCAAATCTCTGCTGTGTATAAAGTGATGTCCAGATATGCTCAAGAATTCAGACGCAACGTTTTAGTTAGTTGTGTCAGAGCTTTTCTTGCAAAAGAATTAAATCAAGCCTAGTAGTTTTGTCAGAATGATGTTGGAAATCCTCCGTTTTGTCTCTCAGTTCAGTTGGAGATCCAGCATAATCCAGTTTTTTTTTTTTTTTTTTTTTTTTACATTTTATCACCAAACATTTAAATTTTCACAACAAGCATTTCATGCAGTGGAACAACACACTAGCCTTTTCATGCGTAGCGGTCACTGCAGTGGACAGCCATCTAGGGGCCATTTTCTTGTGAATATGTATGTTGCAAATGCACACAGACCACTGAAGTGGACACTGGTGCGTCACGCAACACACCATCAACTACTGGCCAGGAACCGCGAGTCCAAGAACATTTTTGTTAAATCCAATGTGGCAGACAGACAGAGAAGCAGGTCGACCAACTCAGGAAAATCCAGGCCCTACTTCTACTGTGGAGAAGTCTGGTAGGTAAAAAAAATAGTGTGACATCAACTAAACCCTTAAGACTAACACTACTGATGTATGGAAGAAAATTACAACTGATCACCTAGAAATTTTTTTTCCCCCCACCTATATTTTATGTCTTAAGAAAATCATAAGAACTTTGGGGAAGAAAAAAAAAAATCTTGACATAAAGGATTATAATTCATGCACCAAAGTGCTAGACTTGCCAAAGATTTTTGATTACGTTACGGCATGGACTTTGACTAGGCTATTTTGCTTAGTCCGATGTAGTAACTAAACCAGGCCATCGTAGCTCGGGTTGTGTGTGCGGCAGCATCGCCCTGCTGTTTTGCAGCCTCTTCAGCTCGGCACTCACTGTGCGGTCTCACAAAGGGGTAGAGAACTTAAACATGCCACCCTCTGCGAACTTGATATGACGGCAAGTCGTGTCACACCGAGCGACAGAAGATGGCAGACAGCACTGGCTTGCTACTGCGGAAAAGCATTGTCAGAGAGATCCGACAGACACGTCAGTCAGTCAGTCGGGGAACGGACAGTGAGTTACGGGCGTTGATGCATTTATTATTAGAGCAAGACGGCGAGAAGAGGAAGGGGAGAGGAAGCAGCAGGAGACGTGCTCATGACTGGGACAATGAGGAGGACAGAAATCGGATGTTTCGGTCACAGAAACATTTTGACATTCTGTTGCGGGCTGTCTTTGGTCGGGACGCCTGTCACACTGGACGACTGCAGGCCGCCGCTTCCAGCTCACGACCAGAGATTTTCTGTCACGATTAAAGATGGCTGATAACGATCCCGTACGACCTCGGGGGGGTTTCCTCATTGGATTTCCCTCGTCCCTCCAACCAGGACCCACAATAACGCTACCACTACTATTTCTCAAGAAGATGTGCTGTGTTAGCTTTGTTGCTACAAATGATGTTTTGTATGTAGACCATAAAGTTGCATTTAGTTATGGTTTTCTTCTAACAACTTTTCACAAAAGAACAGATTAATGTAATTCACAACCAACAGATTTTGTGTTGTGACGTTTCTCCTGTGGATCTCTGCAGCTCTCGGCTGTATCTCTGATCAAGTGGACGTCTTGGTAGGATTGCAGTTGTGCCAAATTTATGCCAATGTTCAGATTATAGTTGGAACAGTGTCAGTAAAAGTAAAACTGCTTTAAACTGCTAAGGTACATAATGGTCTGCAGTTGTAATGCGACTAATGTGGAAAAGTTTAAGATGTGCAAATGTATTTTTATTTTTTTGCAGGGTGCTGTAGATCTAGAAGTAGGCAACACTAAGGTTGTGTTAGTCCAAGTCTTTGGGCTCGATTGTGGGTTATAACAACATAAATGTCTTTCCTCCTGGTTGTCTTTAATGAAGGAAACGCTATAATTTCTGAGGTAAATCTTAAGTAAAAAAACTGGAACTGTGACAAATAAGGCTGGATGAGGGCCTAATTTTATCTTGTACCCCACACAAAGAGGAGGATGAGTGGTAAAACAAATAATAAGTGTGTAAATCTTATTGTTAGATTTATTCAGAGGGAAATTATGCAACTACTTTAATAGGTTTGCATTTTAAACATTTTGCACATCTTCAACAGGGGTGTCAAAAAACGGAGAGGGTGCTGAACATGCTCAGCCTGGACTTTTCATAATTTTTCTCTATTCAGTATTCTCCATCTACCAGTCTGGAGTTTCAAAATTTTTTTTTGGTAGAGCAGAGTGAGTAAGGAGGTGAAAACAAGAAATAAAAATGTCTGAAGTTTGAGTTGCCAGGGTTAAAAAAAGAAGCTAAATTCTGTGCAAATTCACGACATGAGACGTTTTACTGAACTTGATGAGTTGTGCGCTCAGAGTCCATCCCACCTCCTTATATTTACTTCTCAATGACTAAGATGTATTTATTAAACTCCCCTGCTTACTGGCTCATGAATAATTTTTGTATTCCTCAGATGGCCTTATTTAATTCAGCTATCTTTAAGAGGGCGAGAGAAAAAACCCTCTTAATTTTAATATTTGATATGTTGTTTCTGTAATTAAGGAATGTTATGCATGACCCTAAATTTTGTTTTTGCGATGGAATATGCAAATGCTGCTGGAAAAAGAAAAATATTCATATAAACTGAAAATATATATATATATTCTTTTTCCTTTTTACTCGTGTGAATTAAGAAATGCAAGATTTGTGACCCATGAATATTTCCATATTGGATAAAACATGCCCTGTATTTTTACAGCTCCTATGACACACAGTGTGCATTGTAAACAAATTTAACACTGCATAAGATGGTTGGTTAGCGGCGGCTCGCCTCTGCGGAGGCCGTACTGTCTTCCAGTCCGTTCTGCCGGTTCAGCGCGGCTGCGGTTTCTTTGTTAAGACTCGAGTTATTGCCTTCTTTGGTAGTTCTCCCTCCCAGGGCTGCTGGCTTCTATAAAGTATGAGCTATGTTAGGATGACAGGTTTCTTCTTATTATAGAGTGGCGGGAGGGAGGGGAGGAGAAAAAAAA